GTGAGTTTTATATTAGAAAAAATAGAGCTTTTGCCCTCATTAGAAACTGTATTTTCTCATTGGCCCTCCCAATCAATCTTGTCTAGCTCCGCCACTGTATAAGACTATATATTGTATGACAATTGTTCTACTTATCCTTAGACAATTAGGTTGTGTGGATCCACATCCTTTGACATGCATGTTGACGGCATTGAGATACCAGCCGGATAGTATGGACTTAAACATGATCTGAGATTGGCTCTATAAAGTCAAAACAATGTATATGTTGTATCCTAGTGAACTCGGCATGGTAACCGACTTGCTTCGGGTCTATCTAGCTCTACTTTGTAACTGAATAGTTTTTTGTGGGGTGTTGTAACTGAATCTTTATCATTACCTAATATTAAAGGGAGGATTGTTTCTCCATTTTTTTCGTTTGCAGTGGGACCCACATTTATTTTGGAACCAACGATTTCGTTCGTCCCAAATCTCTCGCTCTCACGCTGAGCTTTCAAACTATTATATTTTCTGTTATCCCTATTGTTTTATTATGTGTCTGCATATTTTCTTTGCATTTTGCATTTTTGGTGATAATCTATATCTCTTATATAGTTGATGAATGATATGTATTATTAATCCAAATATTGATATTTATACAACCAAATCTCATTGAAATATATTGCAGCGGGTCCAGCCGCAACGCGCGGGGCATCATCTACCTAATATTAAAGGGAGGATTGTTTCTCCACTTTTTTCGTTTGCAGTGGGACCCACATTTATTTTCGTCTGGCATGGAACCAACGATTTCGTTCGTCCCAAATCTCTCGCTCTCGCGCTAAGCTTTCAAACTATTATATTTTCTGTTATCCCTATTGTTTTATTATTTGTCTGCATATTTTCTTTGCATTTTGCATTTTTGGTGATAATCTATATCTCTTATATAGTTGATGAATGATATATATTATTAATCCAAATATTGATGTTTATACAACCAAATCTCATTGAAATATATTGCAGCGGATCCCGCCGCAACGCGCGAGGCATCATCTAGTTGTATAAACAAGTGTGTCACTTGTTTTATAAGACTATATATTGTATGACAATTGTTCTACTTGTCCCTAGACAATTAGGTTTTGTGGATCCACATCCTTTGACATGCATGTTGACGGCATTGAGATACCAGCCGGATAATGTGGACTTGAACATGATCTGAGATTGGCTCTATAAAGTCAAAACAATGTATATGTTGTATCCTAGTGAACTCGGCATGGTAACCGACTTGCTTCGGGTCTATCTAGCTCTACTTTGTAACTGAATAGTTTTTTTTGGGGTGTTGTAACTGAATCTTTATCATTACCTAATATTAAAGGGAGGATTGTTTCTCCACTTTTCTCATTTGCAGTGGGGCCCACATTTATTTTCGTTCGTCATGGAATCAACGGTTTCGTTCGTTCCAAATCTCTCACTCTCGCGCTGAGTTTTCCGTCCGGTAAAAAATTATGAAAAAAGGCAGCCCTGATAGGAATCAAACCTAGAACCAGCAGCATCTACACCCGCGCTGCTAACCAATGCAACCGTCTATCTTTTGTGTTCAAATGCGAGCGCGAACTTTAATTAAAAAGATACAACCGGCAGTGGGAATGCTTGAGTGGAATCGAACACAACACCTCGCGCTACTTAACCACGCCCCTAGCCAGTATAGTTGTAAAATTTGTTGTCCAAAAATTGCAGCTCAACTTATATAAAGTATATGCAGCGAAAGATGTAAACTTTTTTCTCAAATATGTTTTTTTTAAATGTAAATAGTTTTGGAAAAACAAAAATTTTCAAAACATGCTAACAAGAGACTTGAACATTTCTCAAAACTAAAAACAACTATTTGAAAATGCAAACATTTATTGAAAAACAAGAAAATAATTGAAAAATGGGAACATTTTCTGAAATTATGAACATTTTTCCAAAAGGCGAACATTTTGTGAAATTCCCCTAAGAACTTACAAACAAATTATGAAAACATGATTTTTTTTAATTTATGAACAAAATTTGAAACAGAATTTTGTTTTCTCAAAAGGCGAACACATTTTGAAATTGTGAACAATTTTTCAAAACCAAACATTCTATGAACTCCCCTAAACATTTTTCAAATTTGTGAACAAAATTGGAAAACATGAACATTCTTTTAATGATTGAACAAACTTTGAAACAAAAACATTTTCTGAAATTGCGAACATTTTAAAAATCGATGAAAATATATAAAAATGCGAATAATTTCAGAAATTTCAAATTTTTGGAGTTTCCGCAAACATTTTTAAAATTTCTGAACATTTGTTGAAAAAAAACCTTGAGTGAGTAAATTGTGCAAGCTCGTACTTGTGTCTATTACCTCCATCCATTATTATTAAGCCAGGTACAAGGAGTAGGTTCGTTGCTTTTGGGTCGTTCGTGAAACAATGTCTGATTTAACCCCTCCAGCAGATCGCTACATAGCATCAGCCAATGTATGTGATGGGTTTTCTTTCCTTCAATTGGAAGCTGCTTTGTCATGCCGTCACCGGCTATAATTAGACGCATTTAATCTTCATGCGAGGTTATCACTTAGTCGTAGAGTTTTGACCGCCAAGCCCTTTAAATCCAGACAAGAAGGTTTGTTTACTTATCAAATTAAATAATCACCTTCTCATATTTTTTACACTAACTTTCATCAATTTATATACATTTGCAAGTTCTACATAAAATCAATAAACTGCTCCAGCAAACGATAGAGAATGAAAAGTGAGTCTCAATTATCCCTAGAGAAACAAACACACCATTGTGTTGTTACAAATGAGCAGGAAGGATTCAACTCCGCATTTCTCAAGAACAAGAAATTAACTTCCAATACTTTGGAAGTTTTGTACACGAGATTGTGGGTGAACATGAGATGGGCGGTATATAATGGGACAGTGGGAGTATGATATAGCTTAACATATAATTGCAATCGGATTGTCTTTAACTTGGTTGGATGGTCAACTTTTTTTGGTGCAACGCACGGACATATGTGCTATCCCCTCCGTTTCTAAATATTTGTCTTTCTAGAGATTTCAACAAGTGACTATATACGAAGCAAAATGAGTGAATCTACACTCTAAAATATGTCTATATACTTCGTATGTGGTGGTCCATTTGAAATCTCTAAAAAGATAAATATTTAAGAACAAAGGGAGTAGTAGTTGTAAAATAGACTTTGGGTAAGTATAAATGCATGTCGTGAGACCGCGAAGGGATTCGCTCCTTCAACTCAGAGATATCCTCTATGCCCTCTTAAGTGATCCGACTCAAAACGCATGATCATGCGACACAAATTGAGTATTAATCCCGTTTCGTGAGTCAACATCACATATTCGTAAAAAAAGGCCGGGCTATTACAAGAATGACTACTCGCAGTTTGTATTATAACAACGACGGTGATTTGATTTCTATACCCCCTCTTTCAGTGAAATATGATACGCACCTCCTGCATATTCGAGAAAAAAGTCGCTTGCAAGCTTGCAGCAATGCTATCGGACGCGATTTTTAACAAAGGAAAGCAGTATTTTACAGCAGCAGCACCAGCACTCGGCCTCCTCCTTCCCGCCATCCTAGCACACAAACGGTACTGTAACAATCCAAGCTCGAGCTCGCCTATGCCATTGCCATGCGTTACCTCTACTTCCGCCCCAACACGGCAAGCCAGGCGCGCGCCTGCCGCGACCATCTCCTCACCCACCTGGACCAATGCTCGTCGCGGGCCCACCTGGCTGAGCTCCACGGCCGGCTCATCCGCGCCCACCTCCGCCCCAATCCCTCCGCAGTCGGTCGGCTCGTCGCCCTCCTCGCCTCCCCTGTGGCGAGGCATGACATGCCCTACGCGCGCAGGGTGTTCGACAGAATGGCCCAACCGACCGCCTTCGTCTGGAACTGCATGATTCGAGGGTACAACAGTTGCGACGCGCCTGCGGATGCATTGAGGTTGTTCAGGGCGATGCTTCGGAGGGGAGTCTCTCCTGATAATTACACCATGGCTGCGGCGGTGTCCTCGAGCGCTGCATTCGCCGGCTGCAAGTCGAGGTCAACTGGGGACGCGGTACATTCCTTGGTTCGCAAGACTGGCTTTGCATCGGATGTGTTCGTCATGTCAGGCCTTGTTAATTTCTACGGCTCCTTCAGAAGTGTCGATGATGCAAGGAAGGTTTTCGAAGAGATGGCCGATCGGGATGTGGTGTCGTGGACACTGATGATCTCGGCTTTTGCACAGTGCAGTCAGTGGGATGAGGCGTTAAGGTTGCTTGCTGAGATGCAATCACAAGGCACTAAGCCGAACAAGGTCACCGTTATAAGTCTCCTTTCTGCATGCGGCCAAGAGCAGGATGCTGACAGAGGCCGGTGGGTGTATGCACGCGTTGATGAGTACGGCATTGAGGCTGATTTGGATGTCAGGAATGCACTTTTAAGCATGTACGTGAAATGCGGATCCATGTCGGACGCATTGAAAACATTTCAGCTCATGCCAATAAGAAATACTAAATCATGGAACACGTTGATTGATGGGTTTGTGCAAAATGGGAAGCATAAGGAAGCACTAAGAATGTTTGAAGAGATGTTATCAGATGGTATAGTTCCTGATCTGATTACCCTCGTAAGTCTCTTATCGTCATGTGCTCAGCTTGGTGATCTCCAGAAAGGAAGATACTTTCACAATTATATCAAAGATCATGGGATCCGCTGTGACATCATCCTTCATAATTCTTTGATTAACATGTATGCTAAATGTGGCCATATGGCTGCAGCAGAAATGGTTTTTGGAAATATGACACAAAGGGATACCGTGTCCTGGACAGCTATGGTTTGTGGTTATGTGAAAGGACTTCAGTTTACAACGGCCTTCAGTTTATTTGAAGAGATGAAGGTTGTAGATGTTGTGTCAAGTGAAATGGCACTGGTTAGTCTACTTTCTGCTTGTTCCCAGCTAGGAGCACTTGATAAAGGGAGAGAGATACACACTTATATAGAAGAGAAGAGTGTAACAACAGACGTATGGCTTGAAAGTGCCCTGGTGGATATGTATGCAAAATGTGGTTGCACTGATACAGCCGCTGAAATATTCAGTACAATGCAGCACAAGCGAACCCTCACATGGAATGCTATGATTGGAGGTCTTGCCAGCAACGGACAGGGAAAAGAAGCAGTGGAGCACTTTGAACAAATGCTGAAGCTAAGAGACCCAAAGCCTGATGCTATCACTCTAAAGGTAGTTCTTGGTGCCTGTGCACATGTAGGAATGGTTGATGAGGGGCTGCATTACTTCTATTTGATGTTGAGCCTTGGTATTGTCCCTGATATTGAGCACTATGGTTGCGTAGTAGACCTCCTGAGTAGAGCTGGGCTGCTAGACGAAGCATATAGTTTTATCAAGAAGATGCCAATACAGCCCAATCCAGTAATTTGGGGATCACTTCTTGCAGCTTGTAGAGTTCATCACAAAATGGAACTAGCAAAGAGAATTGGACAGCACATCATCGAATTAGCTCCTAATGACGTGGGAGCACATGTCCTAATTTCGAACTTACATGCTGAAGAAGGTCAGTGGGATGATGTAGAACAAGTAAGAGGGCTGATGGAAAGCAGAGGTGTAGAGAAATCATCTGGTCGTAGCTCCATCCAAGTCTAGACATGCTTCGTAAATCATTGTTCGTACTTCATAATGTAAGTTACAAGCGACCACATGATTTGACTAGTAATACAAATGGCTGAGAAGCGTATTGCCACTTTTTCAGTGCAGTGTCTGTTCGATACCAGAGACATATATACTACAATGCTCAGTAGATATGTGATTTCTTGATCATATTTTGGTTGCTCGGGTCAGCACTGAATGAATGAATCAGTATGCAGGGCAAGAAAAAAAAAGGCCACATACTCACATCTATTGCTACTGGGAACTGAGATAAACTTGTCCATATCTATTTAGCATGATCTGAAAACTATTTATGTGCATCATGCATGCTATGATTTGCAAATCATATCTTAAACTTTCATCTAGTACAAGATCTTGATAAATATGCACCCAAAGATTGTTTATGTACATAGTTGAAGTTGTGGCTTGAATAATTGTATTGTAAATTTTCATCTAGTACAGAACCTATAGTAATAATCGTTCTCACAACTATTTCAGACATGTGAAATATAGTCATTTACTATGTAGTATGCCACCATGGGCTAACCATCTGTTCAACAACTTGATAAGAAACTATCAGGGGTATTTTACTTTCAAATCTTTCATGTTCTGCTCTAATTACGTATTTTACAAGATGATTTGATCTCTGATGCATCTTTCGGCCGTCCATACATTTTGATGAATCGTACAATATTCATAGACAGTGGTTTTAGTTTATTAAAAAGTCACTGCAGTTGTTCCAAATAAGACTAGGCTCACCATTTAGAAGTAAAGTTCAAATGCCCGTTGTCCAACTGTAGGCGGTTTTCATACTTGATAATGCAAGTTACAAGTTATTACATAATTTCACTAGTAAGTAGTAATACAAAGTTTGACAGGAACACTGCCACTATATGTATATACTCCACTGATAAGTAGATATGTGATTTATTGCTCATAATTTGATTGTTCAGGCTAGCGCTTAATGTGCAGATCAGTATGCACCGCAAAACATAACAAAACAAATCATTGTTCACATGCTTGCAGTCAAGGCATCTGTGAAGTCAGATAAACTTGTTATGCTGTAAATTTTCAGCTGGTACAGAACCTAGAGAAATAGTAGTTGCGAAGACTATTTCAAGACATCTGATATGTACTCATTTACTATGATTTATGAGGCTGAGGGCTCGCCAACTGTTCAATTGCTTCTGAAGCATCAGCTGATTTTCTTCATGCATCAGTCGTCCACAGATTACATATAATCATGCTATATTGATTCTAGACAGTAATTTTGTCTATTACTCCCTCCGTCTCAAAATGTAAGACATTTTTTGACACCATACTGTTGTAGTCCTTGTCAGCGCTTTCGATTTATTTAGAGTTAATCACTTGCAGTAGTTTGAAACATTTTGACTCTTTCTTACCCACAAGAAGGGAGAAATATTTTAACTCCAAATTAGGTTGACTATTTATTTAGAACTAAAGCTTATGTACGTGTGGTCCATTTCATTTGAAGCTGTTCAAACTATCTAGTGCCCATTTTGGACTTGAATTCTCAACAGTCGTCGAGTAGGTATGTGACTGCTCAGCTGCCAAAATGGTCCCAAGCTTTGCAAGGTGAGCCAGCCTCAGAAGATGGGTCCAGCCAAATAAAAAGAAACTCAAGTTACTAAACTGTGCCTACAGGTTAGGTTACATCTCATCTGATCAAAGCAGCGGTAAGCCAAACGCTGCAGATCACGTTATTCCGTTTTGTCCGGTTAACCCCACCCTATGTGAGTCCTGCTGAATACAAGATATGATCTGCCTAGATGACCAAGAGTTCACTCATAAGTCCTGATAAGCGTGGATCGTAATAACATAACAAGTGGAACAAATCTTCACCAGGGGGAAGGTCTATCAGGCAAGGATGTTCATTACCTTTAATATTTGAACTGGCTTTACTTGCAACAACGATGGGATGCTTTCATTTACTGTTAGGAAATATGCAACTTGTATTTTCAGGTGGCCATAGGCCAGTATATATACATGTACAGGCGTGGAATATATGCAGGAAACCCCTTATACAATAGGGTAAATACGAAAGGTTACA